TCGTATGGGCCAGTAGGCGCTGCCTCGCATGGGCCAGTAGGCCACTAGGAGCTGCCTCGTATGGGACAGTAGGAGCTGCCTCGTTTGGACCAGTAGGAGCTGCCTCGTTTCCTATATTCTCATGCCTATATACAAAGTTAAGGCACCGAACTTGTTTGTGTTATGAACATGGAACTTATCCTCCAAAAAGATAGTATCTATTACTCTTATGAGTGGATTGTACAATGTACTCTTGTTCCCAGAAAAGTCCGTTTTTTGTACTATTGGAGTTCTAAAGGGCATAACCGAAATTGAAATAGCTTAACCATAAACCTAATCTGGTCAAGCCTAAATAAGCAATCCTGGTCCTAATATGTATCTTAGGTCTAATATAGTTCATATGTGTATTACGCAGGGCTTAGAAAAGGTTAGGTTAGGTTATTGTCTTCTCTCTCGGGCCCTCTACATAATCATTAGTACAAAACGTGGAATTGCTTGGGTGCTACTGTTCATTTTTTCTTTATTCCATTCAGAGTAGCTTTGGATACTACCACCTATGAAGAACATGTTGACAAGTGGGTGTACCTTTCACCAGGAATTCGCCATAAGCACTTCAGGTACAAGCACTTGTTGTACAATAACAGCTGCATATCACGATAGGCTAACATTCCTATCACGCCAACACATGCATGTGCCACAAACACTTGAGTTTTGGTAGGGATATCACAGAGCTGATATTAAAGCTCTGGGAGGGGGATATGTAGGGTCTTTTCGTACAGTAGGCTTCGTTCTCGACTAACAATCCGGGGGTTGGATTCTCGGGCGGACAGAAATGATTGGTCACGTTTCCTCTCGCCTAATGACTTTATTCACCTACTTGGTAGCAGTAAATAGGTACCCGGGAGTTGGGCACCTACTGGCCCTGGAAAGGGTCAGTAGTTAGACCTTGAAGGTACCCTGATACATTGTCAGTATGCAATGTACAGAATATATTCACAGGCTTCCTGTCTCCGATAAAACGAATTAATTATATTTACACTTTTAAACCGAGAAGCTTGTGTAGAAATGGCTCATTGTTCGATATCTATAACAGTGAATGGCATTCACCAAATTTGCAGGGTGACCGGTGTTTATCCTGGGATGGCCGTAGGCGGGTCGGGGTCGAGCCCCATGCCTACCCCCTCCTTGGCATGAAATGGCAAATCATACTAACCCAATCTCGCTATAGGGATGAAGGGGAACGTTGTGAAGAATAGAGAATGTGGTGAAGGAAAGGAAAGGTGGGGAATGAGATGAATGAGATGAAATGTGGTGAAGGTAACGAAGGGCAAGGAAGGTGGCTAAGGAGAGGGAAGGTGGGTCGTTAAATTGGTTACCGTATAGGAAATAGTGCGTAAGGAAGAAAGTTAGAGTATTGAAGATAATGCGTAAGGAAGATTATTGCTGTGAAAATAGTGAAAAGTTAAAATTGTTAGTGATGAAGATAGTTTATAGTGAAAATGTGGCGTCCGTCCATCGATAATTGCCTGGTAGCCCCTCTAGTATCTATGTATAAAAGCGAATGGCTATCTATTTGTCTCTTCAGTCGTTTGAGGCTAGCCTCGCCCAATTTTTAACACTAATTGGTGTTAGGTACATGCAGTACATGGTCGGTTCAGGGTTACTGTAAATTTATATATATTTTTTATTAGTTTATATATACGAGTTCTTACATTCTTGTACATGGAATGAGTGCCTCTTTGACAGTGCTAATGCTTGCCTCTTGACTATTTTATAGTATCATAATCATAATCTTAGACATTTATGTAATTATATTTATATATTTTTTGTGTAGTGTAAAACATTATGCACTGGTGTCTGAAAATAATATCAAACTATCATACTTTGCCTGTAATTAGCTGATATGATGAACTGCTGGGTGCCAGGGGGGAGGAGTTTTGGGAGGCCGGGGAGGGTGAGGGATGACATGCGAGCCAATGTGGGCAGCCACACTACGTAAAGAAAAGTCATAAGGCTGGTTACATCTTACGGGCTATTCATGCCCGTGCCACCTCTTGGGTGGCTTAATCCTTATCAATCAATCTGGTTACATCTGGGGCTGGCGAAGTGAGGCCCTCCACCAGGAATAAAGTAGTAGTGGGTACCACTACCCTGAGCAACACCGGTACCTCTTCCGTGTCAACTCGAATAGTACTTCACATTTTGACGTATAAATCCCGTAAGGCAAAAAGCTGATGTACTAAAATTCATACTAAAATTCGTTTTGCATTCGTGGGTCCTCGGTTAGGTTAGGTTCGGCCAATTTAATACATCAGTTTAGTGGCGTTGAGAGCTGGCGACTCTGACCACCTGGAAGGCGGTTGAGAGTTGTTTGTGAAAACCTTCCTCTGTCCATGGATAGGAGGCAAACTATGAGTGCTCCAACCACTTAGGCTGGACGATCTCGCTTCATGCAGGTCGTCGTTCAATCCCCGACCATCCAAGTGGTTGGGCACCATCCCCCCCCCCCTGTCCAACCCCAAATCCTTATCCTGACCCCTTCCAGTGCTATATAGTCGTAATGGCTTGGCACTTTCCCCCCTGATAATTCCCTCCCTCCCTCCAAACACAAAGATTAGATCAATATTTGCCGGTAACTTGATTGTTATCGACCAAGATAAATGATTTACTAGTAAGACATCGTCAGTCATTGGGGAACATTTCAAGGAACGTATGCTTGAAGTAGGTTACTTTGTGTGCGCTCGTTCCTGTTAGTTTAATGTGCGAAAACTAGTATATTCAGCCAGTAATTCTAATTTGTTTGTAAGATAATCCTGTAAAAGTATCATAATCATATTAGTTGACGGGGAAATTAACAACGAATCTTCAAGTGCACTGAGGAAAAGTGGCAATTAGCTGCGGCTGCTTCATGGATGATGCATGGAAGGGGGGTAGAAATATCCTAAGCTACTCTATCCCTTTGAGATGTATTTTTTTTCCTTGTCTCAATAAACATACTTGAACTTGATGCATGGAAAAAGTTACGGCTGGGATTCTACTTAATAATACACTTTATGTAAGAAAGATATAGTGCTAATAGTTATGAATTATCAGATGAATGTAATTCATATTTATTAACAATAATATAGCAGTTTAGTTCATTTATTATGCACCCCATACCCATCTTGTGGGCGGTAGTGGAAAGGGTTACAGAGGCACATAATGGGCTCAGGGACTGAACCCCACAATTCATTTAGCTAAGCAAGTTACAATCTTGATGAGCTAGTTACAAAATTCAATATACATCGTCACATCAACAATGGGTTCGAGATCGACCAAAAGAACAGTTTCTAAATTAAGCAACTGACATATATGGAGAGCTAGTGTCACAATTGATATGTTTGTCCTGCACACCGCCCCCCATCCAGTGGGCAGCGGTGGATAGGTTACAATCACTTAGTTACTACCTACAGTTAGCAAACTGGGGATATTTGGCTAAAATTTCTGGTAGCAGATCATTTTGAATGAAATATTTACACATCGCTGGAACATTTGTTATAGAATTGTTTCTGAATTCACGTATCTTTTCGCACTCCATCACATAGTGACGGAGGGTGTGCGAATAATTTTGTTGACACAGTTTACATTTGGTCAGGTCTACATCAGCAGATAATGAGAATTCCCAGAGATACTTGTAACCGAGTCTAAGCCGAGCAGTAGTAACATCTAGAAGTCTGCTGATTTTATTGGATGATCCATAGATGTGTGGCTCCTCTTGCATGATAGTATGATGATAGATGGAATTACTGGTGTCAATTTCACTTTGCCTCAGATCTACAAGATTTTGTTGAAGTTCTTGGTGTACTATTGCTCTCAGACTGCTTATTGACAATCCAAGGTTATACTCAACGGCTCCTTTAAAGGCAGATTCTTTGGCTAACTTATCAGCTCTATCATGCATTCGGAGACGAGCATGTTACAGTTATGTCTTAAAGAGTTGAGAGCATTTAAGGATGATAAGGAGTCACTTACAATTAATGTATCAAGTTTTGAGACTTGTACACATTTCAGTGCAAGGATCAAGGCAAATAGTTCAGTCTGAAGGGTAGAGGCCCAGTTGTTTATACGGACTCCCCACTCAAAGTATAGGCCATCGCCCATTGTCAGGACAACTGCACTTCCAGCTGCACCCGTGGTGCGGTGTAGGGAACCATCAGTGTATATAATTTGAGAGAGAGAATGCTCTGTGGACAGAGCATCAATATGGCTTAAGGCGTTGAGCTTTGCCTCAAGACGAAGCTTGGGCTGATCTCTAATTTGCTTCTTGGGTGGACCCCCCTCTATTTCAAGTCCCTCAAGGGGCGCACAAATTCAGTTGAGTACAAATACACAAATCACAATACATGAATCCCATTTAACATTGCAGGTTAATATAGTAAGCACCGCATATAAGTGTTACATTCTTGGGAAAGTATCTCTCGCGGCACTTGCATCACCCGCTGAAGCAGACCTGACCAAATATAAACTCCTGTCAGCAGAACTGTTCACATATGTTACGTCACTATGTAATTGAATGTAGAAATATCTCAAAATTAGAGATAACGCAAGGAGTGGCAAACGGATTTTATGATGATAGGCTGTTATAGTTAGGTCAAATTAACAGTTTACGATTTATGCAACATTTTTATTATTTTAAATGAGTTTTTCTACAATATTTTATTAAGGCCTCTGGTGTTGCAGAATGGAGAGTTGACAGTGTAAGGTCTCTGGTGTTGCAGAATGGAGAGTTGACAGTGTAAGGTCTCTGGTGTTGCAGAATGGAGAGTTGACAGTGTAAGGTCTCTGTTGTGTTGCAGAATGGAGAGTTGACAGTGTAAGGTCTCTGGTGTTGCAGAATGAGAGTTGACAGTGTAAGGTCTCTGGTGTTGCAGAATGAGAGTTGACAGTGTAAGGTCTCTGGTATTGTAGAATGAGAGTTGACAGTGTAAGGTCTCTGGTATTGTAGAATGAGAGTTGACAGTGTAAGGTCTCTGGTGTTGCAGAATGCGAGTGACTGGTCTGGTGAGCGGGTACTGGGGAGGCGCCGGCGGTGTCGAGGACGAGGAGGTCGACGTCGAGGCCCAGTTCCCAGCACACACCCCTGGCACCACCCACCACGCTGCTCAACGGCGCCCTGGTCAGTATCGTGGCACGATTTAATTTTCGGTTCTGTAAGTACTGTGTGATTATTTCGTGGCGCTGCTGGGTGGTCAACCCACCTCCAAATTGAAGACTTTTTATTTTATTAACACATTACATGAATCTTATACAGTATAAGGTTTACCTGTCGCCCATTTGATTCTTTGGATACCCTTGCTACACTCTAGTGCCTTTTCTGATAAATTGTTGATTTAATTCATTATATTTTTTAGTTTCTCGTCATACTTTTCTCTGGTAAAATTATTATGGGATATAATGAGACGCGATAGACGTGTACATAGTGTTAGGTCAGAGTAGTCAATATCGTTGTATCCCTGCACATGTTGAGTACAGTTATTTCCAGACATTCTAAACGGGATTTTTCTTAAATTAGGACAAATCATGTTTTTGTTCTGAGGTTAGGGGCAACTATGAAACTTAATGAGAGGGATACATAATTTTGGTCAAATGGAGCAAGATGTAAGTAACTCTAGAAGTGAACTGTTTTAGGTTCACTGCTCACAGCTTATCCACACACATGATAAATAAACGCATTTCACATTTACACTTTGTAGTTGAGTGTCAATAAATCACTACACTGTATGTAGTCTAACAGATCTCTAATCTTGTCAACGGAGTACAGAAGAAAAATGTATGTACTGTATGCTGGTTAGCATTGTTATAAATGAGTGACCACAACCCATCCCTTCACAGTACATTATCTACTTACTCCCACATTCAACATTCGCCCTATGTGTGTGTTCAGTGTACAATATGTGCACATTTACACTTGGAGGGAGGGAGAGTGGGGGGGGGGGTGGCATTTTAAGAATACATTAGGGAAGTTTGTTTAGCAAAGATTATGTGTATTGAAGTTCATTTGTGTTGAGAATCATGTGTACTGAAATAGTGAGGATACTCATTGTAGACGAAGTTTCACTTGGGCAAAGGCTAAGTGAAGATTGTGGAGAGTTAAGATCTTTAAACGGGAATTTACCATTTACTGAAGATAATTTGCATTTATAAGATGGTGGATTGTGAAGGTCATGATGATAGCTATGGTGTTTACACTAACAAATATTGTATTGGGAATAAATGAATTTAATTATATATTTTTGTCATGATGGCAAATGTACAAACAGGAGGGACTTGCTGTATTTCACCGTGATCTTCAACTTCTGAATCTTGTATAAAGAATTTATATTTTTAGAGACATGTATAACAAGTCCTTAGTTGTTCATCAGGTGTATTGGGACTAGCTCCTAGATTTAGTTCCCCTCGGAACATAAAGCTCGTGTAACATGGATCTGATTGAGAAAATTTAGATTTTGGCAAGTTTTCTCTTTGTGGCTATAGTTTATATTTTCAGTGTTCAAATATGGCAACTCTACTTTTGAGTAATATGAGCTTTCTGATCAGATCAATCAGCTGCTCCATAAAATATCAGCTGTGTCCAATAGACAGTAACATTGTCACAGAAAATATAGTTCAGTATTGATACCTGTAGTATAGAATGAACATAAAATATGGTAATCTATATTCACTTGAAGTTGTACAGAAAAGAATGACAAGTTAATTCCAGGAATTAGAACTCTCCCATAAGAGATTAAAAAGCTAAATTAACATTCTTTAGCAAGATGAACATAAGGGCCAACATAGCTGAAGTAGTTATGTTAGTTAAGAACTTTAACTTTCCTCGGAAGTTACCAAATGCCAGGATTCACACTAGTGTCTACCGAGACCTCTGATTGGGCACTAGATTTGTTTCCCCAGAGCACAGCCTGAAAAAACTAAATAGTTGCAAAATATAATGGAATAAATTCAACAAGGTATGCAATAGATGAAAGTTAAAAGCAAATGCTAGTAACAAGAGGTCATTGATGTACTGAGAAGTTTTTTGAAATGAAAGACTGGAGTGAGTTAGGTTAGGTAAAGGGTTAAGATATGTAATATGATATAATATGAATTTGAGATAGGTACAGTGTAAACAAAGAACAATGTAAATGAAGTATTACAAAGGAAGAATCATCATTTTATCCCAATGACAGATAAATCTTGGGAAGACATAAGGATGAAGTACTATCAGGGATAGAAAGAAAGATTTAGGTGACGATCTCTTCTAACCTGTGGCGATGATCCTTATGTGGAATGAGATCAGTAAATCTAATATTCAGGCTGTTGGAACACATTCTTTTAGAAGATAGGGATAGCAGAGAAGGTAAAAATGTGAGGTATGGGTAGAAGTGGGTCATGAGCCAAGATATATTTTGGACTTGGAAAAGATATGATCAAATTGCAAGAGAACACAGCACATAAGGGTGAAGTACCAGCATGTCCTCCTAAGGTTTCAAAACATCAAGAAAACGGTCAATTTAAATTGTCGTCTCCTAACCCACCAGAGGACCCAAAACATAAAATGGGACATTACATCATTTTTGCAAGCCACTTTCATTTTGTAGTACAAAAATTTTTGGCCTTGTGTAACGTATACGAGCGAAATGTGACTTTCTTTGTAGGAGGACAGGTTGGAAGTACTGTACATGCAGTCAGTGGTACAATTCAGGGGGTCACTCAAAATTAAATAGAATGAGAGTGGGAGGAGGACATTCAGGAGGATTCGTGAGAACACAAGGGAGACTGGTACATACAGGACTTCTGAGAGCAAAATGGAATATATATACTGATTGTGATGAGGCTGTATGGAGGCTTTAATGTTAATTTAACATTTAAACTTTGTGATGATGTTCTCGCAGTCATTAAAACAATACACGTAGTTCAGGATATGCCATTAATGCCATCGACAATTAATTCTTATGGTATTGGTAATGTTGTTGTTCTATTTGACCTTATATGCATATATCCCTCTAGAGCATTCTATTTTGAACAATCTGATACAAAAATGAATGACGTAGCACAAAACTTGAGGTGAGAAAACTGGAAAGAGCATAAACATTGGGTTGTGCGCCCACGGGCAACGCCCTGCATACCTTGCAGTGCACTGCGGGTGGCCCGCTGAGCCAGGCAAAGTGGCCTTGCTTCCAAAGAGGGAAATTTCCAAAGAGAAACAAGGTGCCATAAATATGGACCAAATTAATTAGCTATATTTTTGTGGCTATAATGTTGGTGATTTTACAGGTGAGAATGAGAATGGAGCAGAAGGCAGTGGGTCTGACTCCCAGAGTGAGAGTGGCATCAGCAGCAGTAGTGGGAGTAGCATGAGCATTGCTGGCCAAAAGCGTAAGAAAACTAGTTTGAGTGGGTCTACAGGTCCACCTCGACGAGGTAAAAAGAGAAGATCTGGGATATCTGCTAGAGAAAGAAACCTTCGGCGACTAGAGAGCAATGAACGTGAAAGAATGAGAATGCATTCACTCAACAAGGCTTTCCAGGTAAGTGTTGAAAATATTCAGTGACTTGTAAAACTGGTGTTGGCAAATATTTTTCAAATTTTGAGCAGTTGAATTTCATTCCTTTTTAGTTCTGATAAGAGTACCATGTGTATCTGCTGTCTCAGACCAGAGTCCAAGATGTAAGACCTGTGGCCAACATATTCATCATGACGAAATATATTACTGTATACAGATTTGTATCCAAGAATCTGTTAATTTTTAACTTTAGTATATGTGCTATGAAATAAAATTAATACTGTATATATATGGTTAATATACATGCCAAATTTTCATGTGAGTGAACCATCATGTAACACAACTTAAACTTGTTCTCACTAAAGGTTATCAGCATTTTCATTGTCATGCATGATGACTGCATCAAAATTTGATTGCCTCAAGATAGGTAGAATATACCGAAATTACAATAATATGAACTTGCCAAACACTTGTATGCAAGTGAGATGTTTATGAAATAGAAATTAAATTAGAAGACAAATTTGAGTAAGACAAGAATGAATGAGGTGGTTTCATGTATTTAATTCATCCCATTATATAGGGAAAGAGCACCTATAGATCACAGATATATTGTACATTAAAATAAGTCATTATTGAGTGATTGAAAAAATATGATAGTGTGGTAATGGCATGGATGGGGTTACAAAATTAACCTAGAGACAAATTATGTGTAGAGTTTAGGGGATCTAAGAAGCAAGAATGAAGGCATGATAGGCTGGGATAAAATTGGTGTGAAGATGACATGCTAGAGAATGTATTAAACTGTAATATTTAAAATATGTATATAGTACTGTACATGTTAAGTTAATAGTGTACAAAATTATATCTTGTGATTATTCAGGAGTTACGTGAAGTCATCCCACATGTGAAGATGGACAGAAGGTTGAGCAAAATTGAGACCCTGACACTGGCAAAACATTACATTATGGCCCTCACCAACACCGTCTGTGATATGAGAGGTGACGAGAAACCATACAAGTAAGTCGCTATTTATTCTTAGGTTTTTAACTATTATTAGTACAATGTACAGTACTTTAAAAGGAATCTGGTGGTTTCTCTACTTCCCAAGCCCATCCTGGGGCCATGCTTGACTTGTAGAGCTTGTTGCAATGGAGTTTAGAATGGTCTACACGTCGACAAATCTGTTACAGCACTTATCATTTGTATTTAATAAGTCCTCCCCTCAGCTTTGTGCAGTCATTGCAATGTGTTTTGATTTGGGCATGGTTGAGTTACCCACCTCTCTTTGGTGGCTGTCCTGGTTGTTCCAAAGTGGGACTTGGCGGGTCTACAGTACGTTCTAAAAAATGGGTACTGAACAGCTTCAGTCCCTGTCAGACCTTCTGCATTGCTATTTAAGCTCCAGTTCGCTTGGCTTTGCAGGTAGATTCTTGGATGGTATCTCTGGGCCTCAAGGAATTGTACTGGCACTTTTCTGATTTGGGTTTCTTGTAGAGCATTAAGTTTACCACTTCAAAGTTCTGCTCTTCAGCTTGAGTTTTTGGTTCCCCGGATTTTTACCAGGTTTGCATGGGTAGTTGTAACCTTGCCTATGTTACTTAGGAGTTAGACTCTTGGTACACAGAGCCAATGGAAGAATACATCATCAGTGATCCACTGTATGGAAATAGGATGAAAGTGAAACAACCCATCCACAAGAATGTTGGACACCCTATGTGAACCGTGCAGATAACCAAACTCGGAGGTACCAAAATCTAAGCTACCAGAAGTGTCCAGCTTTCTAGTGCAATGGACCGAAGCAATCCCCTTTGGTTCAGGCAATGAATCATCGAAGAGCAGTCGTAATGAAGCCAGAGCAGAGAGCTAGGAGGAAGCTGAATCCTCCTTGGGGCATGTTACACAGCCCCAAACTTGTACACCGTGCTGTGTACTTGAAGAAATGCAATATGACCACAGCCCCTGGGTGTCTGAACACATCAAGGAAAAGCCAGCAAAGCAAGAACTGATGAAGGGGTCCTGGGAGAAGCAGAATGTGCAGAACCATAGAAACTGGTACAACACCCAGAGCCAAACCCAGCCTAGGAAAAAGACAGTGTAGGCAGAGTTAAGGCTCTCACACAACTGCTCGACCAGCCAGTGAGATTCTCAGGGCTAATCCAACTCCAGATGGCAATGAAGCTACAGGTGGAGCAAAACTGCTAGAGCCAGGAAAAAGGAGATGCCAACTGAGAGTACAAAATGAGGCCCAGCAAAAGTCCAAACCTGGGACGGAACCAACGGGACTTCCTCCAGTTCACCAGGAACCCACGCCCAGTGAGCTGGGGAAAAAAAAAGCAGATCACTGGCAAGCTGATGTGCAAACAAACTGGAAGGCACACACCAAACCCTAACAGATGCAGCCAGATTACAATGACCCATGCCAGCCTAGTAAACACATAGGAACCAGATTCAAGCTGAAGGCAAGAACCCTAAAGCAGTGAGTTTGATGTCCCCACACCAAACCTAGCCAGTCTCTGAACTCGGGATGTATGGACCTCCAGGATCGGTACACATCCTTGAGGTCCAGAGACACCATCCAAGCTCCAGCCTTTAACAGCAAAGGTGAATACCCTGAAATCCTATTGGGACTTGAAGGCTCGACTGCCTCCACCATTGGCATGGAAGGAACCACCTCCAGAGAAGGCCGAGCTGTACCCTAACCTGACTGAAACACTTTGGACCCGGAACTAGTGGGACGACCAGAAGCAAGGTGAATCACGCCCACAGGGAAAGGAAGTGGAGGCACAGACTTAGTCCAAGTGGAAATCACCAACACTTCAAATTCTAGGTCCCTAAACACTATAGGATGATCACTCTAAGCTTTGATCTCTCTGAACCCAGCAGTGGTCTGTATTGGAATGATGACTCTCTTGATGCTTTCCTGCATCAACATGGCATAGGCAGTGTGTATGGACTTGAAAGCCTCCTTGTTTAGATCCTTAAATGACATTTTTATGTTTGCCAATTTCTCATATGCTGCTGATTATATACTGTTCAGTTGAGCTTCTGGTGTTAGTGTTGGGATTATGTCTATTCCCATGTCTCCTTCCTGGCATGGTGCCTTCTTTTGATAATTAATTACTTACTCCCATGTCTGCTAACTCTTCCCTTAAGGTGTAGTTAAAAACAAGTTTCCCATCTCCCTTACACCCATTTTGACTACTTGACACTTATTTGGATTGAATTCCAGTAGCCATTTATCTGCCCACTCTTAAAAGTTTGTCAAGGCCTTCTTGCAGTACCCTACAGAATGCTTCAGTTCTTACTGTCCTCATTAACTTTGCATAATCTGCAAAAACAGAACTGTGGCAATTGTAACTATATTTAATTATTACTTTTCAGATTTCTGGAGGCTTTTGTGAACCAGGAAGATGAAAATCCAGATGATGATGAAGAGGAAGAAGAAGAGGAGGAGGAGGAAGAAGAAATGGAAGAAATCAATAATAATGGTGTCACACAAGTCGTATAAATTAAACTTGAAGTACTCGATGGGTGAGTTAATTAGACCAAAGTTACATCATATATATATAAAAACTTTTAATGTTTTGCGGTATGCAAATTTCATTAAAGCGCATAAATATGTTGGGGTCGGGGCATGACGGTAACAATCATTAAACACAATAGAATGGTCATTGCTAACTTGTATTTCATGTCATCACATTTTGAAACTGTACTATTTATTTTCTGTTTATAAATTGAGTGAAATTCTTAAATTGTGTGATGTTGCTTTCATGCCCCGACCCATTAATTAATGCCCTTAATAGGAAATTATGAAAGTGTTATATTAAAGATTGAATATCTTCTTTGAGGTAAATATTATCTGAATTATTTTGTAATATAATTTTTATATCAACATTAATATAACTATTTATATTTATATATATATTAACAATGCTGTTATAAATTATAGTATCAAATGCTTTATTGGAGTGATGTGGATTGTGCAATATTGTTATTTTAAGAAATAAAATGTATGAAAAAATTGATAATTATATAACAAAAACAACACATCTTAACTTGCACATTACAGCTTTCCTAGCAACTTGGTGAGCTTGTGCAAGAAGAGGGGATTCATGGGAATATTGCACAACAGCTCTCAAGATGCCATAAATGAAAAATATTATTTTTTATGGGAAGATAAAATTAGTCTGGAGATTTTTTGTTTTTGTTTTCTTCCCACTGAAGGCCCAGTGCCTCCCATGTCATGTGTGTGAACGGGGGTAAAAGTGTTGTAAACCTGAACACAATTTAAAATAAAAGTTTGATGCCTCCTCCTCCTCTGTCATTATTTTAATTTAAAAAATAAAGAATTAAGATAGTTATGGAGAGATGCCAAACTTGCTTTAAAACTTATAAGTACTATTCCATCTTGTGGATAATTTTTAACCATTCCTGATGTGATGAATTATAAAGCAATTATATTTTCTTACTGTTGTGCAGTGGATTACTTTTGTAAAAAAAAAAAAAAAAAGTTGCATACATGAATTTAATAAATGATTTACTATTTGCTTGGTGGACACAATAGTTGCCCCTGGCAGGTACTGATTACGCTTTACAAACCTTCGTGGCTAACAATTATACCAGCACTTAGTGTGTGGATTAAAAATGTACAGTAAACATTTTACAATTATGTAAAATCATGGTCTACACTTGTAAAACTACACCTCACAAGCACATGGTTGTGTTCGAAGGTTGGAACTGAAGCAAATCATGAAGTCCCATCTCCAGGCTTGACATTTGTTTCCACCACAGCTTATGTAAAATTATAGAATAACTTGTCTGTGCTATTTGAAACTTTGTGCCTTAGTGATACTTGTATTTCGTGTGGTTGCTCTCTCTATTGGTTGTGGTGGATATGCCTATTTGAAGTATTATGCTTTGTAGACAATACATCTGCCTTATGGTTATTGATTTCATGTTTATGCATACCCAATCATTTTCATTTATACATTCTATTTGTTTCAAAGATCAGTTTACTTCTCTATTGCCATTTTATTAATATTTAAGTTTACCTACACAATTTTTGTTATACATAACATGCAGTCACACAATTGAAGTAGGAAGCTTTTTCATTATGATGGCTTGAGAATTTGATGATCTATCTACATATGAATATATTCATCATTGCATATTAGATAGCTGGCATTAAATTTGGCTCATATTGTCTTCCAAACAACAAAAGTATTGTTCATAGATCTTAACTGCTGCAAAAGAAAACAGGAACTATGGAACAGAGGAATATACCATGCAAATAGTAAATTCAGGCATTATATTTTTTGTTTTTCCAGTCAGAAATATACATAAAACTGCATTTAATTCACTAGCCATTTTCAAAATAAATAGTTCTTTAAAGACAACTATTATATATGTTACTCAAATATAATTGATGGCAGGGTTAATTGCCACCAGATACTGTTGATGTGCTCCCAGGGAAGGTTTAAATCTTGGATTGATCATTAGTTTCTTAAGCTTTCCTTGTTGTGAGCATTCTTGTCCTGGTTTGTGAGTCGGAGTTCAAATCTTCGATGATCCAAGTGAATTGAATGTTATTACCCATGATACTGCAGTTTAAAATAAATATACTATAAATATATATGTACATAAAAACAGCATAGTGAAAAACCAGTATGGCAATGTTTCTTTGTAAGCTACATAAAAGTAAATTTTATTTGGAAGTCACGCAGTTGGTTTGAGGTTTATTTCAATCATATCCTATCAGAGTAATATATTTTGTATTGTTAATGTTCTTTCCCCATGAACTACCAAAGATTAAGAACTCAGAATGTTGTTTTAATGAAGTACTAGTGCATACCGACTAATTAAACTGAGCTTCACAATGAAACATTTTCAATCCAGCACTACTTCAATGACTTGCAAAATGGTCATGAAGGCAGACACAGTATTGTGAAAATAATATATTGCAGATTGAAGATTTTTATCTTTATAATAAAATTTATTGTATGAGGTAATTTAAGCACTTTATTACCCTTTTTCAGTTTTCAATAAAAATAACTTTTCAGGTGTATTTAAAATGACAGTTTATTAGGTTACAAAAAAAAAAAAGACATCATTCTTAATGTGAAATGTTCTATCAAGAAATGAGATTTCATTTTGGCAAACAAATTACCCGGATCTCCACGAGCACAGAGAATAAAGATGTTTAACAGCACTTTTTCTCAGTACCCTAAAGGGAGACTGGAGGACAATTGCACTAATGGAAGGCAATGATGCTAACACCCCCATTAGGAAGACACAATCATACTTGAGGTGAAGACATGCTAGGCCTTAAACCCAGCCTGTGACCAGTGAGCCTCCCCAAGCAAGGGAATGATGTCTAGAAGCTAAAGATAATGTACACTATATTACAACTATACACTCCCAAACATGCAAGACACTAAGCTATGCATGTAAGGGTTTGGCACACCTCTTACCTTGGCACCTTCTGGCACCCATGGGGAGCTTGACTTTATTCACCCCAGCTTATCTTACTCTTTTTTCAAGTATTTATGCAATTAAAATTAAGGACTTGTAAAGACACATCATTGCTCCCACAACTGCCCCTAGCCCACTGTAGGACGAGGGCTTAGTGTCACATTTGTTACCAAACGCACACAAGCCTCAACTAATACATCCACCAGAGCTAAAATACAATTTATGATTTCTTTCTGCTTAAGGAGAGAATTACAATAAACAATAAACAGAATCTCTTATCGATCTGAAAGCTTTTATCTCTGATTCCAACAGCTTGTTTTGATTTTTATGGTATGGGGGGCAAGGGTGTCCTGCCACAAGTGTTAGGGGCTAACACTTATTACAACTAAATGTTGTTCAAAACAATACTGTCCAAGCTTTTACCAAAGCTTTACTTAATTCAAATTTACAATTTATCACTTATGTTCAGTATTTAAAGAAAGTCATGTATTTAACAGATGGGGAGTATACATAAAACAATAAATTGCACACAATATACAAATATCTGAAATTAGCTCCAGTATGAGCACAGACAGTAGTGAGCAACAGCAACAATTTTTGGTATCGATGAGTGGAAATCAACGCAAGATTGCAGCAATACCCTCCACACTTAGCGATACCATATGTGGCTGGGTACATAACCCTGCCTGGTCTTGTTTATTTGGTGGTAAAGCAGATATAAATAAAACTGAAAATATTACATATAGCCCTTATGAGAAAACTTTAAATGTTTCAAATACAGTACTCAAAAGCAAAAATATGCCAGACTTACTTTTATATTAGATACTATCAAAAACCACCTTAAGTTCAAGAACAGAAAAACTATTTAAACTTTAGAAAGTGCCATATTACAGTAGCAAGACCAGGCAGTACAATTTGCACAGCAAGGGTATATAAAACAGATTCTAAAACATAAGGTAAACAGCCAGCCCAAATCAGCAGTAAGCCTTCACCATGTCCAATACACTAACTGACAAGTTAATAGCATATAATTTTAGTTAAAATTATAAAATAAAAAAAAAACATGCTGTTAAATGAAGTATGAACAAACTGTTATATTTATATAATAAAGAAAAAAAAAAAGATTTTCTCAAAAGATCACCTTCAACTTGGGGCAAACGGCCTATTGCTACATTGAGGCAGCCTGTGTGCCATACGTGTGGTGCAGCCTTGCGTCAATAAGCCACTCTCACCTGACAACCACTTTGTACAGATCACTATGCATCTGATTCATCACACTGACCCAATGAAAGCTACACTGTTAAAACTCCAAATATAAAGAGAAGGTACACAATCATCAAATTCATTTTCATATCAATTTTATATTGAGTGAAATGAGATTATATATGGCAGGAGACAATTAAAATGACATAGTGGTCGTGAGAGCTTTGGCAGCAAATTGGGCTTAGCGAGTTCTGAAAATAACTCTTGCCCTAAAATAGAAACAATTCTCAAGACAACCTGGAATGTAGTATCTAACCCTTACAATTCAAACGAGCACAATGGCATTATCACTTGCATAAAGGCTACTTTCCTTAGCAAAGAAAATACCAGGCATTCTGGACAGACAACACAATACTACATGAGAATCTTAAAAATCACTAATATTTTTGACCGGAGTGAAAAAAAAAATTAAACACATTACACATGTACACTTGATGCATGCATACACACACACACACACACAATTAGGCGAGTACACACACATATACACTCACATATGTAAACACACATACTTGCATGCATACACACACACACTTGATGCATATACACACACTCATATATGTATGTATACATATACATGTATACACACACCTCCCAAACACACATCGGCACAAAAACACGCACATGCAAACACACACACACGCACACTTGACACACATGCCCACACATACCCATATATGCAGTCTTTAGCTTGAAACAAACCATAATAAAATAGTTTCCTAGCCATTCTCATCATTCTACATAAACCACACACACCTCCTTTTAAAACATATGACTATCAGTGGTTTGGGTTTTGGACTTCGTGACTGTTGGGAGGGATACACTATTACGCTGGTCCTGGAGGTGGTTGATGTGATGCCATCTTTTGTTGAACCATATTAACCAGAATATCAGTGTATTGTTGCATCATTGCTACCACCCGTGGATCCTTACTATCTGTTGCTTGTGGTGGTGGGGCTGTTGGGGACATTAAAGATGGAGCTGGTGCAGCATTAGGTGCAGTAAGAGGAGTAAGGGCATGAGTAGCTCTTGCAGCAGCCCCTAGTAAGAGAGATCGGAGAGCTCGGTGATGATCCTCTTCTCCACCTCCCTCACTACATGCTCGCCACCAGAGTTGACTCAAACGTTCACACCCCTCCACAACCCATTCACATGCACTTTCAACTACGCTAACACTCACTGAAAAGAAAAATATATACACTCAAAAACATTTTGGTTTATTTACAGCAATATATTAGGTTGTAACTTATTTATGCTTTATTGCATAAATTTATTGCAAAGCCTTACTGCTTTTTTGTCACAAAGAAGACAAAGTCCACCGAGACATAAGGCCAATTTAAAATACCATACTACATCATGTACTGTTCTATAATAAGTTAACATTATTACATTCTATAATAACCATAATAATGCTATTTGTGTTTGTGCTAAAAATGCCTAAATAGTACATAGTGCTAATAATGCCTACATACCAGCACACACACATTCAACCATTTTGGTTAGCCAATGAAAATGTTGCATGTTGAATGACGGCTTAGAATTTGAGGAAATTATGGGAAACCAGAGGACCATCAGAACCATCCTAGTGGACCCTGAGGACACTTGGTAGGTGTAGTCAGAAAGATTGGATTTACCGTGAAATTTAAGGAAAAAATTACAGCTATCTTCCCAGGTAAGAAGTAAATACAAAAATACTAGTTCTGACTAAAATGTGTTGAGAATATAAGCAAATGCTATTTGTTTCCACATTGGCACTTCTATCAAGGTAAGAAACAATGTCATAAGAGCTTCTCCTCTTCATATATAAAGCATCCTAGTTTTACACAAAATGCAAAGGTATTTCCACCACACTTTAATTCCCCAACCATATTTATTCGCTTACTTGAAATAATTCAATATTTTCCATCAATAAATTTACCTCATTTACCTAGTTTCTAAATCAACCTGAATCCTGCTTCTTGTATTCTAGCACATGCATTATACATGAGGAAAACATCTCTTAATATCTGATGAGGGTTCTTCCTAACTTGTTCTGTTAACTACACTAGAAACCTCATTCAAATACCCTCTTTATTAAGCATAATGCTTTACCTACAGCAGAATTTAACAATGCCTGTAATGGCTCTCTTTGTGTGAACCTTTGGCAAACTTTAATCACTGTTTTAGCAGTTGCACTAATTTTTTTTTAATAATTATTTGTATGCAACATTATCACCTGATTTTGCTCCCCCACCCCTCCCCTGTTATTATTATTAAAGCTATTCATACTGCCTTGATTTAATTTTGTACACATTATTTAACTGTTAATGTGTTCTTTTACAGATTCCTTTAATCATCAGTCTTTGTTGAATAGGGTACAAAGTGCTGACAATGAAGAAGAGCAACACAAGGTTCAGGGTAGACTGCATCATATCTTGAGGTTATCTTGAGATGATTTAGGGGCTTTAGTGCCACCGCGGCCCGGTCCTCGACCAGGCCTCCACCCCCAGGAAGCAGCCCGTGACAGCTGACTAACTCCCAGGTACCTATTTACTGCTAGGTAACAGGGGCATTCAGGGTGAAAGAAACTTTGCCCATTTGTTTCTGCCTCGTGCGGGAATCGAAACCGCGCCACAGAATTACGAGTCCTGCGCGCTATCCACCAGGCTACGAGGCCCCTACAAAAGGCATGGAAGAGGATATTTCATCACTGTGAAGCAGGGTGTTTCAAAACAGTCTACTCTAACCCTGGTGTTCCTCAACATACTGTATAACATTTTTGTTAACTGAGAAGCAAATAGATAACTGCCTACTTTGGAATTACAAACATTTATCACATCAGTTTTACTTTACTACAAATACTTTATCAATTATATATCATGAATCACTGCAGAGATATACTGTTCCAATAAAATAAGCATTGGAAACATCAATTTAAATATATAAATATTATATAAAATGTCTAAACTGCCTGATTTACTGGAAAAGCAACCTGAAGAGAGATTATTCACACGCATATCAAATACTCACATGGCATATTTTCAAAGTCAATGTATGCAAGATCATCACGGGTAGGATATTCCTCAGGACTCATATCAACAGTCGAGGCAGCAGAGGATGGTCTGCTGATGTCAGAAGAAGGAAGGCCACGTCTTGAAACTGGAGAAGCTGCTGAAGCATACCGCCCTCGTACCGATTCTCCTCTGGATTTACTGGACAGGCTGTTACTGCGGGTGAGGTCACGCTCACTCACCGCACGAGTGGGAAGGTTGCCGCGCCTGACACATCAACACAACACAACACTTACAACATAAAGCTTAAGGAAATGCATACAACTACAACTAAACAATACAATTCTATTTTGCAAAATAATCAACAACATTCAAAGATGATTCTCATGATTCTGAATTCCTTAGTCAAAATAATATTGTGCTGTAGTTTTATGTTATACAGTACTATTATTGAAGGGTGACAAAACAAGTGACAACCTATAAAATTATAATTTGTAACATGTCAAGGTATACTATACAGTACAATGTACAGTGGTACCTCAGCTTACGAACTTAATCCGTTTCCAGAGACGGTTTGCAAGCCAAAAATTCGCAACCCGAAACGAATTTTCCCATAAGAAATAATGTAAATTGAATTAATCCATTCCACACTCCCAAAAATATTAACTTCAAAATAAATTTCATACAAAAAATTTAGTACAAATTTAAATCCAAATATTTAGTACTATTGTATGAACAAGTTATTGCTTATCTTTATTGATGACTCTTATTGGCGTATGGAAGACAGTGAGGAGGAGGGGAAGGAGGAGAGGTGCTAGTGTTTGGAAGGGGAGCCCCCTTCCATTATAACATCAGGCAGTGATGACTTCTTTGGGGTAATCTCTCCTATGTTTTGCAGGCATCCCATTAGGAACTGTTTGTGGCTCACTGCTTGCTTGTCTTGCTAAGAATCTGTCTAAAGATATTTGTTTTTCCCTACATTTTAACACTTGTCTGTAGTGAGACATCACATTGTCATTAATAAGGTCAATGCAACGGCCTGCTAAAGCTTTATCTGGATGAGTCTTTTTCAGTAAAACTTTGCAGTTCTTCCCATACTTCACACATTTTATTAATTAATGAGGAAGGGACATCCTCTACTGCCTCCTCCATCCCTGAAGATTTGTTGTACTGCCTAGCTAGTTCAACAACCCGTGTACCATTTTCATGTTCATGAATGATCTCTTGTTTTTGCTCCATTGGTCATCCTCACATGTGTTTTCTTAGGTTGGACCTTTATATACTGGACAGGCTGTTACTGCGGGTGAGGTCACGCTCACTCACCGCACGAGTTGGAAGGTTGCTGCGCTTGACACATCAACACATCACAACATTTACAACATAAAGCTTAAGGAAATGCATACAATTAAACAATACAATTCTATCTTTCTTGGGACCTATGGCGTGATATATAATAATTACTTTTATGTTCAGAAACCCAAAAATCAGAAAAACAATGAAATTCTTTACAAAGAGTTCAAGCATGATCCTCACAAAGGGAAGGCACTGGTAAACTGAAGCGCGGGCGACCCTACCAACAGGAACCATGCGCTCAGTCGACCCATACGTGTATCAACAAACTCATAACTCAAGGCAAAGTTTGTAAACCAATTCAAATTTTACGAAGAAATTGGGCTCGTAACCCGAAAAATTCGTAAAGAGGGCATTCGTAAGCCGAGGTGTCACTGTACCCTTCTCATAGATGAAAGAATAAAGAATCACAAAAAATTTAAATGGGAAATACAGATTTAATTAAATATAGCAAAAGGAAACACTACCAAATTAGACAATCTAAATATAAAAATTATGCAGACCTATATAATCCCTTCCACTGTGAGAGAAATCCTGACAGTTTCATTCATTCCGAGTACCAATAGTGTGGTAAGACCATTCTCAGTGTTAGACCATGTGGTAAATGGCTACCTCTGACCACCAGAGGACTCTGGGAAGAGTAGCCTTCTTATGAATAGCTATTTAAACTCCGATTGTCAACAGAGCCTCTGGGGAAGAGAACATACCATCAACTGTGGTTACCATATCCTCATACAGGACATTCATGAATTATTAGATGGTATTGGTGATTTTGTACTTGTGATGACAGTAGGATCTCCTCACTGTTATCACTGACAGTGGTTTTACCGTAATGCTTTATACACAAGACTTTAATAATGATCTCAATCTACAACTAAGGCAACTATATTTGTTTTCAAGATTTTTTCGTAATCTACATAAATTATTCTATACCTGTACTTTCAAAAAATTGAACAAAATTTTCTAAATACTGTATATTTTTCAAGGGTGGGAGAGGGGTAGGGGGGAGGTGCATCAAGGATGCACAAAAAGACAAGCAAATTGGTGTATGAACTTTACAGTACTCTACATGTTTTCCTACAATTTGGGGAAAAATTTTGTTTTCGAAATTCTTTTTTGTTTTCAATTGTCGTGTCACTAAAGACTCGGGAGCAAAGCCCCCTTTTCAGCCACCCTAACCAAACTATTCCTCAGCCCTACATGTTCGCTACATCCTGGTTGGTCTGGTACTTATAGCTGGTTGGTCTGGTACTTATAGAAACATGCCTAATTTTCTCCTAAACACATTAAAATTTGTACTGGCAATATTTCTTATGTTCACTGAGAGGATACTGAATAGTCGTGGATCTCTGATGTTCATACAGTGTTTCCTGATTTGTGCATATGACACCCCTGCTCTTCACCGGGTCTATTCTGCAATTCCTACAGTATCATTTATTTTAATGTGCAAATTGAGGACCTGGCCTTCCAATACAGTATTTTCCATGTATATTTTATGTGATATCTCTCTCTCACTTTCTTTCTACAGAGTACATTTTAAGAGCTTTGAGACAGTTCATGTCTGTGTGTGTGTCATATATGTTTTCTGTATTACCTATAGTAGTTAACAACACAATAAATTATTATTCTCATGACCCCAATTATCATTCGAAGGTGGTTGTTCAGTATAGTAGTTTTTTTTTCATTTCATATAGTGTGAACGTGAGGCTTGTTATCTTACATTAAAAAAATAATAAATATAAATCATGCCCATATTCTGTGCATAAAATTTTTTGTAAATAATGTAAATCAGTCATATACCATGCAAACTATACACAATTAATGCTGGAGGACTGGGAAGCTTGAAATAAATGAGAGAAATTCAATAAAGGACCATGAAGCACTAAACTGTCTAAATGAGCCAATCATGCAAGACCACATAAATTTTGTATACAATTAGTGCATAAATTAATATTTATTGGGAATTTATTAAATTATCTTTTATGCCAAAATGTTAAATAGATATCTTGCATCAAATATGGTAATATAGGTGAAAATAATTTTTGATGTGGGTTTTTAACCCCCACTTGACGAGCGTTTATTGTCATACGTTGATGCATGGGATCAGGCGGTTATTGTCATGTGTAGATTTAAATTATTATTGTCTGGGTTTTACACATATGATGCTAATATGGATATAATACCTCTATGTTTACACAATGGAGCTTACCTTGACGCATGACAAAAATCCTGCTATTGTCTCATAGTTACCTTTCTATGTGAATGTGGTTATCGTCACAAATGTTATTATGCAAGTGCGGTAATCATTGTATAAAATTTGTCATAATTACATGTGTATACCAGTGATGTTCATAGGGTTTTTTCAACTTTGTATGGTTGTAATGAAATATACCAGGCCAATCAATTATCGCTTGAATATAAAAATAATGGAACTATAGCAGGACTATTGGTCCATACAATGCAGCTTTTATTTATATATTTATATATATTATATATATATATATATATATATATATATATATATATATATATATATATATATATATATATATATATATATATATATATATATATATATATATATATATAATCTTTGGACAACACCCACCAGTGGGACTCGAACCCAGAAAGCACAACTACCTTCCAGTAGCTGGCATAACTAGTATGCTTTAACCCACTACGCCATCAGACCTTACAAAAGAAGTAGATAGTTCGAGATATATATATCTCAAACATCTCTACCTCCCGAAGGCACCAGATGAGTGAGGGGTCAGTCTGCAATTTTCGTCAAGCCACTGTCAATGTGAGAGAACTCGTGTCCAGCTTATAAGCCTATACTTGCATAAACCACAAGTGAAGATAAACAATCTTTGGACAACACCCACCAGTGGGACTCGAACCCAGAAAGCACAACTACCTTCCAGTAGCTGGCATAACTAGTATGCTTTAACCCACTACGCCATCAGACCTTACAAAAGAAGTAGATAGTTCGAGATATATATATCTCAAACATCTCTACCTCCCGAAGGCACCAGATGAGTGAGGGGTCAGTCTGCAATTTTCGTCAAGCCACTGTCAATGTGAGAGAACTCGTGTCCAGCTTATAAGCCTATACTTGCATAAACCACAAGTGAAGATAAACAATCTTTGGACAACACCCACCAGTGGGACTCGAACCCAGAAAGCACAACTACCTTCCAGTAGCTGGCATAACTAGTATGCTTTAACCCACTACGCCATCAGACCTTACAAAAGAAGTAGATAGTTCGAGATATATATATCTCAAACATCTCTACCTCCCGAAGGCACCAGATGAGTGAGGGGTCAGTCTGCAATTTTCGTCAAGCCACTGTCAATGTGAGAGAACTCGTGTCCAGCTTATAAGCCTATACTTGCATAAACCACAAGTGAAGATAAACAATCTTTGGACAACACCCACCAGTGGGACTCGAACCCAGAAAGCACAACTACCTTCCAGTAGCTGGCATAACTAGTATGCTTTAACCCACTACGCCATCAGACCTTACAAAAGAAGTAGATAGTTCGAGATATATATATCTCAAACATCTCTACCTCCCGAAGGCACCAGATGAGTGAGGGGTCAGTCTGCAATTTTCGTCAAGCCACTGTCAATGTGAGAGAACTCGTGTCCAGCTTATAAGCCTATACTTGCATAAACCACAAGTGAAGATAAACAATCTTTGGACAACACCCACCAGTGGGACTCGAACCCAGAAAGCACAACTACCTTCCAGTAGCTGGCATAACTAGTATGCTTTAACCCACTACGCCATCAGACCTTACAAAAGAAGTAGATAGTTCGAGATATATATATCTCAAACATCTCTACCTCCCGAAGGCACCAGATGAGTGAGGGGTCAGTCTGCAATTTTCGTCAAGCCACTGTCAATGTGAGA